CAGAACAAGAAACAAGACCGAAAAAGCGGAGATCAAATGGAAGTGATACCTTAATGTACTTACGGGAAAAAAATGAGTCTATGGAGAAGTTCAGAAAGGAAGAAATGGAAATGAAGAGGAGGGAGGTTGAATTACAAGAAAAAAAGCATGATGATTTTATGAAGATGATGCTAGCACAACAGCAACTACAAGCACAGAAGATGCAAGAATTTCAGACAATGATGTTGGCACTGATGTCAAGAATGGTGCAAAAATGAACAATAAGTCCTGTGTTTATCCAATTTTATTTCAAAAGTGTATTATCATGGTCTTATTGAAAACCAAAATTATCCCTTAGTTATTTATTACATCTCCTGTTCCAGTTTGCACTGATAAAATATTGTTTATTGTTTTAGGCTATATTTTTCCAGGCTATGATTTTTACTTTGTGTCTTAAAATGTTTGTTTAAGTTTCAGGACATTGAAATGTTTAAAGTTTTAAATACCAATCAAATAAATTTATAGCAGAATGACTATGGTTAGATTTTATTCAACTATATCAATTAAGAGTTGATTTTTTTGATGCCGAACTATTTTTTCTTGGTTGATGGAAAGCCATTCTAGTAAAATAGAAACAGAGAAATTAGTCTCTACTACAGGTTAGTCCTACTCGAAACCATTGATTTTCTATTTCAAATAGACTGGTTTGAAAAATCCATTAAATTCAAAGAAAAACTGAGATGGTACAAAACTTATTAATGATCTCATTATAAAGTCTCATGAGAAGTATTCCTGTAGTGTTGGTGGCTCAAGCCCAAAGAATTTTGAGGTTTCATTAAAGTACATACATGTCAAGGCATTGCGTAGAATTGCTGCTACAATGTAAAATTTACCTACAGCACTCAACTGCAATTTCAGGTTCTTTTTAAAGTCCAAAAACTTGAAGTAATTAACAATGTCTGCAAAAAGCCATTCAACAGACTCTCGAACAGAACTCATTGATTCATTGAAGAAATGCATTTGAGGGGTAAGCACTGCATTCCTGAATGGAGCTTGCAAGTGGATCCTCAATGGGTAAGCTGGGTCACCGTACAGGCACATAGGGTCACCAGTAGAAGAAAAGGCATACTGGCTTAGCTGCTGTAGGAGCCCAGAATCTGCAAGCATACCAGAATCATGTTTTCTTCCTTCTGAAAAGTAGAAATAAAAATACAGTATTACTAAAACAATGTGAACCATTAACTAACTTAAAGTGAACTATTATTAAACCAATAAAACTAGAAGCACAAAAAAATATAAAATCAAAGAAAATGTATGAATGAAAGATTTTGAATACTATCACTTACCAACTGGGCCAAATAATTGAGCAATGATTCCATTGGGCAAAGTAACAGATTGGAATTTTATGGCATGCACTCTTTTATGACCATTATAAACTATTCTTTGGTGTTCTCCTGGTCTACAGATAGGTCTCACAGTTCCATCTATAAAACCAAAACAATTATTTAGTGCACCACCTTTATCATGAACTGCAGCAGCATACGCCTCAAGCTTTAAAGGCATAAGTAGATCTTGATTCCATGCTGTGATTCTGTGGTGATGGTTGTCATAGATGTAATCGATCACTTCGTTTGTTAACATACTTATGACAGGAACAGGCCTTGCAAATAGAGGTATCATGTCACTGTATCGACATGGGTAGGCAAGGCGCTTGAGAACCATACAGAGTGCTTCCATTCCATCACAAATCGATCTTTGATGGCAAACTATGCGGTCAGGGATGTTTAATGCTTCTTTAAGCATGAAAAGATCGTTCTTTTCAACTCTGAAGTCTGCTTTGCACGTTGCAGGATCGATGGAGTTCAAATCAAACTTCTCGTAATCTTCGTAGCCAAAAGATGGATTTTTCGAGGTACTTTCTTCGTATAACAGCACAAATTCTTTTTCATCAATAACTCCGCTATCGAACGCTAAAAGTAGCGCTTCTCTCGTTTCTTGAAAAGAGCACATCTAAAGAGGTTTTTTGAAGCTCGCGTCGTGTTTGCTGTGAAAGCTTAAGGACAAAAAGGTAATGCGACCGCGTCCTAGTTCCAGGACTCTCTCGGTCATCACGTTCGCGTTGTGGGTCTCGCGTCTTGCTGCTTAAGGTCCCTAATATGTGAAGAGGCGATTCGCGATCTTCGGTTGAGTAGTTTCAGCGATCGTGCGATCGCCTGCGATCGCCTGCGATCGTCTGCGATTATATGTGAATCAGGCTTAAGTGGTCTATTATGACATAAAATGGCGTTTTTCAACAACATTTACATAACCCCTATTCTGTGGAACTGCCACTACCCGTCAACCTGCATGAAGCATTTACCCCGCCATTTCCGGTAGGTGACTGCGTGCTTTTGAAACAGGTTTGACTGTACTTAGCTTGTCAACTTAAAGATTCGGAAAGCAGATAAAGCTAAGATACCAGGAGGCAGGAAATGACTACTTGTGGGGCCGTATCTATGCTAATTAAATCGTCAGTCACCTCATGGAAGTCGGCGAATCTCGCCCGGAATGTTTTGTAATTAATGATCAACATCGGCTTTTAACTGCTAGGTCAGTTTTATTCTGGATAACGATAACTAGGATTCGGAATTTGACAATGTTTCTTGGCGATACTTGGGGGCGATCTGCTGTCCATAATTCACGTGACAGTTTTGTACACTCCTCATTCCTAAAATAGCTCGGTTATTTTCACTTTCGAAATAACTCATCCTGAACAACCTTTGTTCGTTTGGAAAGTGAAACGAAAAATCCCTAAAGAGCCTTTGGAAGATCAACAGTTAGCCGTAAAACCACGAAAAATTCAGCCTTTATTCGTGAAAATTTACAAACTTTAACCATTGGCCGTAAAACGGCCAAAATCGTAATTGTTAAAGGTCAGAGTAAAAAATATATTAAAAACTGAACGGGTAACTCTCCCCGAACTCTCTAAAACGTTTTTCTATCGCTTTCTTGATAACTTTTGAGTTCATTGGCTAATTTTTTCGGTTGACTTAATGCTGTTACTGTTTACCCAAGGTAAGCAGTAAATTAGCTGATTTTGGAAATTTGTGGGTTTGCTGGAATTTCGGAATGTCGGCATTTTTTTCGAAATTTTATTCGCGAAGGAAATAGTTTTTCCGTTCAAAAGGAAAATTCATCGTCGGGACTACCGTATATGGTATTTTTACTTTTCACGATTTGTCGGAGTTCTGCGCTATTTAAATGGTTTAAGCAACCTGTTACTCTAACATTGTTTTTGATGCTGTTGTTTCGTCCCGGTATTCAAGTTTCCTTCAACACAATCATTAATTTTCATTTGTCACTGGCATTGTTTTGGGTCAGCGTCGTATCATCGTCGTGGCTTTAACTCGTATCAGCTGTTTTGTCAAAGTAATGGTAGCTTTTTAAAACACTTTTATAAAGCCACAAATGTTCTCCAGGGGATGGTTGTCTGAAGTTAAGATTTAGTTATCCACTTACCGTGCAAAGAGTATGAATCAGCACAAATAAATTTTTGTTCACCAGAATAGACATGACTAGTCCTTTGACCTGCTGGATAAAAAAAAAAACGGTGGAGTAATCGATACTGTGTTTACTAAAGAGATATCTGGTAAATTCTGGCGCTTTTTATTCGACAAAATACCTCACAGCTGATAACAAAGCTACGGTTTAAAATAAAGAAATTTTTCCGAAGTAAGAAGTTATTCTTATTAATTAAATAATGTTAGCATTAGTACGGAAAAACTTCGACCGACGTTTGTCCCGATGCGAGCCGCCATATACAAAAAATTACACTCATTTGCTGCTTTACAGTCTTTACGTTAGATTTCACTCATTCACCAACGACGAGACAGTCATTTTTCTTGGCTACTTAACGAGAGAAATAAGTCATTTTCCTACTTATTGAATAAGAAAAAATTATCATAACGTCTGGTCTGTATACGTAATTTAAAGTACAAGTACAAGAAAAGTTCTGTGAAAGCGATAAGAAACTTTAGTTTCGTTCTTCGTCTTTGGTTCTTTGTTCAAGTTTTTAGAATTCTAAAGACGTATTTCCGCTATGAATCATGTAAAACAAGTTTCGCCGTGGGACAGCTCCCAGAATTGCTTACCCAGCTCATTCGACAGAAAGAAGGAAGAGTGACCAATACAGCCTGCTTCCGTCAAGCTATTACGAGCTTGTTCTCTTATAATCTGGAGGGCGTAAAAATATATATGAATATAAAATAAAACATACCTGACAGACTTTTCTCCAAGATCTTGATTTCTCGCGACAAATTAAAGCAGCTACACCTAGCCAGCAAAGTTCAGTGGCAATGAGGCGACCAAATGCTATTTCGCCTGATGACGCACATAATACCGGGGGAAACCCCTCAGTTGCGAAACTAATCAGATGCATTTCATTATTGTTGTGAAATCGGGCGAGATATGACAATAGGGATTCCTGCAGAGATTAAATTTCTCCTATAAATAATGGCCCATGCTTTTGAGTGGTCTGGGAAAGCGAGGCCATTGTTTTGTTTTCAAAAGTTCAACGTTACATAATCTCGAACAGCATAATCTGGACTTGTTTTCTTCCTTGTATCTGGCGTAATGTGCACGGGGATGGTTTTGTCCCAAAATATACGGCTTAACAAAGTCTGTGTCCATCAAAAGCCAAGAGCATTGCATTGTAACCCACAATTCGCCACACGCGTCAGGAATTTTCTTTGTTTCGCTCTCTTTTGACATTACGGTTTTTTATCCCTTATATTTTTATCCCTTATTAAACGATCTTGTTTTGAACATACGTAAATTCTACACGTATCTCGCCCACGCACTTATTCACTTTTTGGATTGTTTAAACTCGCTCAAGGCTATAAAAGATTGCTGAATTCCCAAAACCGTAACTATTGCCATTTACTTCTAGCCTTTTTCTAGCGGCCTATAGATGCCCTGTGCGATGCGGCGAAGAACTTGAAGCTGTTAGTTTTGATCGTCT